CTGTGGAACTCCATAATTAACCTCAGTGTGTGAAGAGGACTCTCCATTTACATGCACAAACTGGAGTCTATTAGATAGATATATATCATATCTACATATTAAACAGATTTGGAAGTTACTGAGCAAAGATCAACACATTTTACACTCACGGTGTTATAGAAACCTCACGATCCCCAATGAGAAAAACTAAAATGATCAACGAATGAGTCACAGTCTTCTTCAGCTGAAGCCACGAACCAAAGACACTCACATGGTCAGGTGACAGTCGGGCGTCCCGCTCGGACATGGACTCTGAGACTTGATGGTGTACTTCTCTGTTCCACACATAACTGCCATCGTTTGCACATGCTTATGCACGAACGGACACCAGTTCCTACACACACACACACACACACACACACACACACACACACACACACGCACAGAGTCAGGATGTAGTGTGATATGTCCACAGTTTTGCTGCTAAGAAAAAATGTTAGTGCTCCTTTAAGAACAAGAAGAACGATCACATATTTGTGTGTAACTCGGTCTAACTGCCTCTGCTGTATGTGCACAGACATGTAGTCGGCTCCTCTTAAAGGCCGGTTGTGAGCCAGGAAAACCCCAGATGTCCACAGCGTTACAGGAAGATGGAAACACACACACAGTTTGTTGTTCTGTATTCCTGTTTGGGGTCAGAGGTCAAAGACTGTGCCCTCTTCTCAGTGGCCACCAACACTCAGCTTCAAGGAAAAGCCCTCTTCCACTCTCTGAAGAGTAATCAACCATGAAAACCACAGAATAAGAATAAAAACGTGAGCCGAGTCCAAAAATGCAGATTTAGTTTATGTTTTTGTTGAGACAACGGCGAATGTAATAGTAACACCAGAATAACTAAAAACTATGTTTTTAGTCATTATGTTAATTTGGCATCCCTTTATGAATATTTTTGCTCCAAGACATTTTTCATGGTTTTTAATTTAGCATCATTTTTTAAATGCTTCTTGTTCCTTTGCAGTTGCCTCGTGTTATCCTGATACCTCTGTAATTATTTTGCATCCCTTTTCTAAATGTCCTCTCTCTTTTCGGTTGTTCTGACGTGGTTTTCATCTCTTTGGGATCTGATCACTAAAGTTTTGATTCTTTTTTTGTTTTTGTGAAAAGACACAAGGCTCGTCTTTGGGTTTGTTTTCATCCCTGATCCCACCTGATGAAGACCCTGGAGCGGCTGGTCCTGGCTCAGCTTCGGTGCCTGGTGAGCTCATCACTGGACCCACTTCAGTTTGCCTACCAGCCTGGCATTGGAGCGGATGATGCCGTCATTCACCTCCTACATCGTTCCCTCGCTCACCTGGAGACCGCTGGAAGCACTGTGAGAATCATGTTCTTTGATTTCTCCAGTGTCTTCAACACTATTCTTCCCTCGGTTCTAAAGGACAAACTGGAGAACTCTGGAGTGGACCATCACCTCACTACCTGGATCCTGGACTACCTCACCGACCGACCACAGTATGTGAGGACTCAGGGCTGCAGTACGGGGGCCCCACAGGGAACGGTTCTGGCTCCGTTCCTCTTCACCATCTACACTGCAGACTTCTCCCACAATTCCACCCAGTGCTTCCTGCAGAAGTTCTCTGACGACTCTGCAATACTCACCTCATCACTGATGGAGACGACAAGGATACAGAGGTCTGACCCAAGACTTTGTGGACTGGTGCCAGCTGAACTACCTCCAGATCAACACCAGTAAAACCAAGGAGCTGGTGGTAGACTTCCACAAGCACAAACATCCTCCACTGCAACCACTGAACATCCAAGGTATGGACATCGAGGCTGTGGACAGCTACAGGTACCTTGGTGTTCATCTGAAACCTGGCCCCACCCTATCATGTGATTTCCTGAGGTCAGACGGCCCAGGATGTGACTGAGAAAAGATCTCAAAACTGATTATAGATGGCAGAGAGTTGGTGTCGTAAACCCCGCCTCTGTTCAAAGATGGTCGCTCACAGTGGACATAGATGGCTTCTTTTACTCCTCTTTCAAACCATCTGTCCTCTCTGTCCAAAATGTGAACATTGGCATCCTAAAGGACAAAGGACACTCTTTCGAGGATGCCAATGTTCACATTTTGGACAGAGAGGACAGACGGTTTGAAAGAGGAGTAAAAGAGGCCATTTATGTCCAGTTTAAGTCCAGTTTAAAAGAAAAACGTAATCCTGCTGAGGCTTTCAGTCACGAGTACAGGATGTGTAGAAAGGAACAGTCACAACATGAAGCCCGAAAACGGCGTCAGTTTGTGTGACTGCAGAGAGAGAGCGTCCACAGTTTACTGGTCGACTGAACGCTGAAGCAAACAGCTGCTTTGTGTGTGTGTCTGTTTATCTCGGGACTTCCTGTCTGTTAACTCTGGCGAACGGTGGCACCAGCAGCTCTCAGAGTTCGTATTTTCACGTTTCACGACCTCGTCTGTGCTCCTGGACGCGAGTCTTAGACAAACACGACTCCCTGTTTTGATGCACGAGGCCTCTGAAGCCTCCACAGTTGCATCCCGGGAGGGGGGGGGGGTGCATCTTGTAGTGATTTTCCATCATTTTCTCGTAACTTTTACTCGTTTGCGGTTGGCCCCCCCTCCGCCTGTCAGCCATTGTGCATCCATTCGTAAATGTTCTGATCCTTCCCGTGGCTGTTTCCCTTTAAAGGGCATTTCTTCACTCCTTCATCTTTTAAAGTTCCAGCCTTGTGGTCATTGTGCATCCTCTTTTTAAATGTTTGACATCTCCTTGTGGCTTTTGTGTGTTTCACATTCATGCAGTTCTCCTTTGTGGATCATTTAAATCGATGTCCTCGGGGTCTTCGGGGTTTCTCGTTGCACCTTAAAGAATGTTGAGATAAGGTTTAATTTGATAGGCTAACCTGGTCCATTTTATTTCAGGAGCATGTGACAATCCTCCCCTCTGTAGCTGAACTTTTACTCAACAATCTGTCCTCACAGTGTGAGTAATTCAATACAGGAAGTCTCCCCTCATCCTGCTGCTGAGCCTGAACAACGAAACACACACTTTCAAACAAATAAAGCAGAAACACACACACACCTCGCAGATCGACTCCAGGCTACACTGAAACACAAATGCATGAGCAAGCTGGAGGAGCAGATTAGGAAGCTTGTGGACTACAATGAGACAACACAGCAACACAAAAGAGTTGACCACAAAGACACAAAAACATCCAAAAACAAAGTAACTGCAAAAAGAGCACAAATCTCTGTAATTGGGGGGAGTGTGGCTCCTCTGTGGGATGCTGGGGGCCCGTCTGTGCTCGCTGCACGCTGGGTCATCGTGTTATTTCCAGGAAACTAAGCTGTTAAACGTCTTTAGTGCACAGGTGAGTGTGAGACAGTGCAACAACATCAGAGAGCAACTCTTTAATCTCCACCTTCAGCTCCATTTGACCCGTCAGACTGAACTCGGGGCTCTGCACCACATCATGCAGGCTAATCTCGTCATTTATCCTGAGAAAACTCCTCAAATGTGCGAGCAGAGCGAGAGCCTGCAGGTCTGAGAGTGAAGTGGAAACTCCTCCGACTCATTTCAACACTTTATCTTCACAAACATGAGCCGCTGCAACAAAGTGAAACTAAATGAGGGGATTTTGTTTTTGTTGGATTGCAGAGGAGCTGTTTAGATGGATGTTTGACTCATGCCAGGAATTACTTCAGTGATGAATGACTGTAATTTCCTATAGTTGAGAGCAGACGATATTTTCCTAGAACACATTTCGAAATTTGTGCTTGAACTTGTAGCAGGAGAGCGAAGGATGATGGGAATGAGTGTTCACAGAAGAAATGAGAGATAAAGAGATTTGAGCTCTTTTTACATCTTTTACTCTTCACGTTGTAGACCTTTGAACAACTTTTAGTAACCATCTTGCATCTGTTTATAGAGCTTTTGTGTTTCTTTGTGGTCATTTTGCATCCCTGTGCCCATTCAGCGTCCCTTGGCCTCTGAGTCTGTTCGTTTTGGATAATTCTAGTAATTTCTTTAACACTTGTCGTGATCAGACATGATTGTTCCGTTGTGATCATTTAATGTCTGCCAACAATAACACTTGTTGCTCTTGTCACTATTTGGCATCTCTTTGGGATTTTGTGGAAATTATTTTTCTAATCTTTGTACCTATTGTGCACCAATTTAGCAATATTTGGTGTCCCTTTGATCACTTCGCATCCTTGTACCTGTTTAATGTACCTGCATATTAAAGTCATTTTTCTGTCCTTTTTGTGGACATTCTGAATCCCCGTGCCTGTATTTTGGGTCCATTTTCTCCTCCTTTGCACTCATTTTGTATACTATTGTGGTCACTTTGTATATTTATAGTCATTTTACATATTAGTGGCTTTTCTTCTGTCTATTTCCTCATAAATCTATTTAGCGTCCGCCTTTGAAGTCACTGTGTGTCGCCACTCTGGACATTTTTGAAATGAAATTTATTTTTCGGTCAACAACAACAACAACAACAGATTATAATTTTACATAAAAGTACTCAAACAGTAACCGAAAAAGGAATAGGCTGAAGCCTTGTGGCTTATAATTATCCTGTCCTTTACCCCCATACGAATCAAATCCTTAGCCAAGAAAATAAATAGCATTGATAAATAAGTTACATAACAGTTTGAAAAGAAATCAATGATAAATCAAGACAAATTATTCATCAAACCAAATTTCTATAACCTTGTATGATACAAATTTTTAAATTCTTCCTGAAGAATGACAAAGAAAAACACATCTTCAGTTCATCATTAAGTCCATTCCATAATTTCACTCCCAAAACTGACACACATCTATACTTAACATTGGTTCTCACTTTAGGCATTTCAAACTTATAAGACCCCCTCAAATCATATTTTCCATCTCTTAGTTGAAACATACTTAAAATACAAATTGGAACATTCTTTTTCATCACTACGATATATCATTTCTAAAGTTTTAGAATATATAATGTCCATGAATTTTAACATAGATGATCCTACAAAAAACTGGTTGGTGGACTCCCTATATCCAACTTTATTTATTATTCTAATAGCTCTTTTTTGCAATTTAAATATTGAACCCACTGGTGTCAAGACAACCATCTCACCCTCAACGTCGCAAAGACAAAGGAGTTGATAGTGGACTTCCGGAGGTGCAGAGAAGTACACACCCCCATCACCATCAACGGCGCTGCTGTGGAGAGAGTGAGCAGCTTCCGGTTCCTTGGTGTACATCTGGCTGAGGATCTTACGTGGTCAGTACACACAAACAAAACAGTGAAGAAGGCGCAGCAGCGCCTCTTCTTTCTCAGGAGACTGAAAAGATTCGGCATGAGCCCCCGCATCCTCAGGACCTTCTATCACTGTGC